TAACACAACCCTCTGTCTATTGAAGGAGCTCTGGTAGCGTAGTGGTTATGAATCGGGCTGTGAACTGCAAGGTCAGCAGTTCGAAACTATCAGCTGTTCCATGGGAGAAAGATGAGGTTCTCTGATTCCATAAAGATTTACAGCCTCAGAAATGTGTGTGTATTAAAGACATTTGCTTGCCCAGAGATAAACTAAATCTCAGTATCTCTCCATTTCCATCGGTATCTCCCTAATGTAAGTCAGGATTATTGCCACCCTTTTCATTTCCCTTCACTTTTATACTTCAGTCTCCTTGCAACAGTCTAGTGATCTAAAAGTGTAAACCAGGTAACATCACTTCCTGGAATAAAATCTTCACTCCTTACCATAGTATTCAGGATGCTTTATAACCTGAATCTTTACTACTGTAGTATTTTCTCATACTACTGTATCCTTTTCGTTCTAAATTCCAGATACACAGGCTTTTTTTAAGAGCTTTTATTGTGAATTGAGTGAAGGTTTATAGAGCAGATCATCAGTTTTACATTCAATGAATCATTGCAATGCTTACAATCCCCTCCATGCACTATCAGCTAACAGTATTTACCTCTGTCACCTTTTTTTTTTTAATGTACACATAGCACATTGAAAATATATATTCATTTAAATGTCCAAAGGGCACATTTTGCAAACCAGCCTCCTGCCTGCAGGCACACTGCCTTTTTCAGTCCATGGACCTTTAGTCCACTGCTGCTCTGTCTCTCTATGCCATCGCCTTTGACACCATCTCTGTTGTCACCACTTTTCTGGTTAGGGTCCCTCACTCTTCTCATGTTCTTCCCTTTTAATGGTCCTAGGATCCTCTGTACCTCAGATGACAGATTAACTGCTCCCCCCTTTTAGTTACACCTCTTCTACATTTACAGTTGTGACAATCACCATTAGTCATAACAATTAAAATGGAATCATAAAATCCTATCCCCATTACCACCCAATCCCTTTCACCAGACCCATCTGGACAGGAGGAAAACCATTCAATGGGGATTCTATCTTACCCTCCTCCTTCTAACACTAAGTGTCCTCGTGAAAGCTTGCAAGCCAGCCCCACAATTTTGATAGCCAAAGTCTAAATTGCCTGTCCTGCTCAACCCTGTGTAATGAGGAGACATGCCTGATCCTTAATATAGAGAATCCTTCTCTATCAGTTGGAATTTTGGGCAACTGGTGTAGCAGCTTATGCTTGCTCCCTATATCAAACTTCTTTATCTTCATTTGATCAAGTTCTGGTCAGCAAGCCATCCAAGCTAGATTAAATGGGTGCTATCTGCAAGTTTGGGAGCACACAGACTTTTAAACTAACCACTGAAAACCACTTTCTTCCCCCTGCCTGCTGTGCCCTTCCCTTGAACGCTTCTCATGACTGTGTCTCTTTCTCATCTTTCTGTTCTCAGCTTAAATGTCATCTCCTCAAAGATACCTTCTCTGACCACCGTAATCCAAAGTGATCTCTCCTAAATTTTCCTCATACCAGAAGTTGTTGTTAATACCCTTGAGTAGGTTCTGACTCCTGTTGTTGTTGTCAGGTGCCATCG